ATGTTTCTGCACGGTAGATCGAGCAACACTCATTTCCCAAATGGCAGCTAACAAGTGGAAAGGGTACCACAGCACCTATACTGCTAACTTCAGTCGAATCGTGGCACAAGGATCCCAGCTGTCGGCAGAAGACTTAGTTGATTATTTCTTTACGAATATCCCAGCGGAACTCAGATGGGCCGTAACACAGCGAGGTACGAAACAATTCAGTGATTGGAGGGATGCAGCCCATGCATTAGCCGCTGTAGCCGCCCCGTGGGCAGCCGCACAGGAGGAATTCCGTAGGCGGGAACGGGAGTTCCAACTTAGTCTGACAGGAAGAGCGGCGGAGCTTCCACGTGCGACAGTGTCTACTGAGATTAGACGGTACACCCCAGCATCGGGTGGCCGAACAGAAATGGTGTGCTACCAGTGTAAAGGCAAGGGGCACGTGGCTAAGAATTGTCCAACCGGTGATCCGACAACGCGCAAAACCGGCGAAACGTGTCGGAACTGTGGAGGTATGGGCCACTACGCTCGCGAGTGCCGAACACCTGTTCGTATGAGGACAGGAGGGGGTAACCAGACTTCATCGGCATCCGCACAGCAGCAAGAGCAGCGATCTCAACGTTTAAACGGAGGAGCCTAGGCGTTGCGGGAGACAAACGTGCTAGGCTGCCAAATCGTGGTAGAGGTGTGATGCGCGCCGTAGCAACGGAACCTAATGCCATTCCAGTCTCCCCTCGGTGGGCAGAGAAGCTAATCCATAGGGAGCAAAGGGCCCCAGCGGAGAATCAAGGGCCAACTGCTTGTCAGAAGCAGTCAGCAGAGCGAAATACAGCTGCACAGGCCCCAGAAGACAACGGGGTGGAGATGTGCAATACAGACAACAGCAGAAACGTGAACGTCGGAGCGTCTATAGAGGACAGTCAGTCAGTTTCAAACGTTGAGTTGCCACCGTGGTGGCGGGAGCTCGTTGCAAATGAGGGCTCCAAAAGGGAAGGAAGGTTGTGCAGCATGAGCGCGCCGGCCGTACTACCCGTAGAGGTGGTAGGGCATTCCTGTGAGGCGCTCTTAGATACCGGCGCCTCACGCAGTTTCATCAACCCTCGACTGGTTGAAGCCTTACAGCTAAAAGTGTGGAAACTTTCGGATGTGTGTGTGCTTACCATAGCGAACGGTGCCCAGTTGCGTATTGATCGAACCCTGAAGAGTTTGACGGTCTGGTGTGGACGTGAGTGTTTTACCGGTGATTATCTAGTAGGTCCCGTCCCCTACGATATCGTCCTAGGACTTGATTGGTTGGCGAGAAATAAGGTTTCCTGGTATTTCCAATCAGACAAGTTGAGGACGTAACTGGATGGCAAGTGGTGTGAACTGCCCCTGATGCGCACACATATGGGCAAACGAACTGAAGATCATAACCAAGTCGAGCCCAAAAGGACTCCCGCCGAACAGGCGTACGACCTTCCGGCTCGGCAAGTAGCTCAGATGACCGCAGCGGAGGCTGCCGCCCTTCTACGGTCGCCTCCCAAGCGAACTAAGCCACGTATCAAGCCTGGAAAGAAAGTGCCTATCAAAGCCTTGATCGAACAAGCCAGAGCCAACACCACTGGATTACGATCTCCACTCCAAGGGTTGAATATGGTATTGGCCTTGCCCGAAGTTGACGAATCCGTTGCCCTTCGGATACCTGAGGAGCAACAAGGAGCCTTGTGCTGCGCAATTATTAGTCACGACAATCCACAGGCCGAGGCAGTCCTCCCTGCACCTGCCGTAGATCCAACGCATGCTACGGATGATGAAGACTCACCATGGCCTACGGCTAAGCTGGAGTTCACCCTTTTCGACGCGGGGATGCAGTCATCCGACTCCCAATATCTCCCACAGGAGATACGCGAAGTGCTGCAGACACATAGACATGTTTTCCCCGGCAGCTTGCCACCAGGCTTGCCACCCAAGCGACCGCACAACCACCGCATCCTTTTAGCCGCTGGCAAGCTCCCAACAAAATCGGCACTTTACCGTATGACTCCTGATCAGCTTCGCTCCCACAAACAGGAAATCATCAAGCAGTCATCACATGGATGGATCGGTCCCACGTACTCCCCCATCTGCGCACCGACGATCGTGGTGCATAAGCGAGATGATGGTACAGGCGAGCGTCAGATGCTTATGGTGGTTAACTACCAATCCCTCAA